AGGAAAGAATAAAAGAGTCCATGAGAAGACTTTGATAAGTGAAGAGCTAAAACTGAAGCTTTAATTTTGCTAAGTGTTTGTGAAAGATCCGTATACAGACCATAGAGATATCAAGTTTATTCGAAGTATCAATGAGCATGCTTCGACTGTCACATTCTGGCAATATTTTGATTATATTCTCCACACCCCGCCTGATAACACGGAATCACATGATCACCAGGCTTAACATTAGTCACACCTTCTCCATCACTTTCAACAATCCTAATAAATCAAAAACAAAAACAAAATAAAAATTCCAATTCAGTTCGATTAAATTGAATCCTATGAACAACCATCGAGTTAGGTTAATGCTAGTTAGTACCCTGCAACTTCGTGGCCGAGAATGCAGGGGGAAAGACCTTCAGGATCCTTGTCGCCCAAAGTGTATGCATCAGTGTGGTAGAGAGCGGTGAAGAGGATTTGGATTTGAACTTTGTTGGCTTGCAGCGGAGCAACCTTGATGTCTTCGATTGATAAGGGTTTGTTGGGTTCCCAGGCCACCGCAACTTGAAACGACGTTGTTTGGTTATGATTTGTTTGTTAATAATAAGAGAAATTTTGAAATGGAAATAGAATGAGTGAGTACCTTTGCATGTAATGACTTGACCTTGAGTTACCATGGAGATGAGATTGAGAGTGAAAAGTTAGAGAGTTGCTTGTTGCCACACACACAGCCTCAAGAGATATAAATAAATCTAAAAAAATGAGACTTATGTCGTTAATTACTAAGAGATTAATAGAGATGCACTGATTTTCTTTTTTTATTATTTAATTGGATTATATTAAGGTCATCAGATAATCACAACGCTAAATTTGTTAAAAATATTTAATTTTAATTTTAATTTTAATTTTTTTAAATATTATAATTGAATGGTTGTGATACGATAGTGTAAAATTTTTAACATTACATAATAATTAAATATTTCATCAAATAAAATTGCTTTGAATTAAAATATTACCAGTTGTTTACATATTGCTAATCTGAGACATGTGCCTCCATACTTTCGAGCATGATCTTCACTGACTTGGACTTGAGATGAAGACCGAAACAACGCCTTGCACCTTGCTCGCACCCGATTCCAATATCGCATTGTCTTTATAAGTAAAAGGTTTGAATCAAATCATCTTTAAAACAAATAAAATCATCATTTATGGTCTCTTCATAAAAGGAGCAGTGATTAGAGATTGAGAGCCACATGGTAGATTTAGTTGGACTTAAGGAATAAGACACTAAGTCAATTTTGCTATCACTAGACATTTGCACCCAAACGATCACTAGACAAACTCTCATAACTACTAAAGAAATCCATTTCAATGAAATATCATTATGCAAATAATATATCATCATGGTTTACAGTATTGATCGTGTTGGTATCTTTATAAATATTTTACACTTCTGACTAACTTGTCTCTTTAGTATCCATTTTTCCATTGAAAAAAGAAACAAGATGAAACAATCCTAACTTTCAATATTGTGAAGCGATGTACGATTTCAACCATAACACCATCGTTCACTGTTTATCATTCCTCATTTTTCACTTTGTTTATTGTGTATTTTTCATTTTCGTCAACATTGTCGAGGAGGTTGACAACACCAACCGATCGTTGATGTCGAGGGGGAAGACTACACCAACACATTCGTCATTATCGAGAAGGAAGAAAACACAAATACCTTCATCATCGTCAATAAGGAAGACAATTCCAATACCAACATGGTATTCTCCTTTATTTAGTCATCACATTTACGGTACATAAAATATTTTCTCCATGCATCTACAGTAAACTCCATTTGCCACTGGATGTTGTTGTTGTTAATCTGTATGATTAATCTTTTATTGTTTTATATGTGAAAATAATATTATATGGTTATATTAGATAAAAGATTAGTTTGTTGTTATTATTGTTATTGTTTATGTTGTGTTTGTTGTTTATCTTGTTGTTGTTGTTGATGATGTTTAAGTTTATTGTTTATCTTGTTATTGTTTATCTTGTTGTTGTTATTGTTTATCTTGTTGTTGTTATTGTTTTTGTTATTGTATAAATGAACAACACAACACAGATGGCAAGGGCAGGGGGCGTGTGAAACCAAAGACCTGGGTTTGACCCCAGGCATGTATATTTTGTTATTTTCTTAACACTTTATGCAGGATCCTGTGCACCTCATGATCAAATGTCCACCATGCGTCTCCAAATTCAACCCCAAGATCTCATCATATCCAGATCCAACATCCAATACATGCAGTCATACCATGAACCATCAGAAAGAAGCTACACTAGATCTGGCGCAGGAGCGGGCTTAGCTATATTGGGCCTGGACAAACTCAGAAAGCCACCCCTCATTTGTTCATCATACAGGCCCAAATTCTTACTTTTTTTATTTTAATTCTTTTTTTTATTATTTATTAATTATGTTTTTTTAATAACACCAAAAAAATCATATTTTTTATTTAATCAAAAAATTATAAAAACATCAAAAATTATTTTTTTTCATAAAAATATTTTATTAATTAATTAGTTTAGTTAAATTAGGGTAATTTAATGTCTTTTTTATTATAATCCAAAATAATTAGAATTAGAGTTTAATTTTGTACATAACCTAATTTTTCCTTAAAAAATAACATAAATATTTTCTCAAATTAGATTTTAGGTTTTCCAATTATTTCTCGCATTTAATTCGCCGCGTGCGCTTTTAATTTTCTTTTTTATTATTATTGTAAGTGTTCCGAGTTTGTAATAGATTTAAATAGGATTTTAATTCCGCATTTTATTTTCAGTCAAAAATAATCATATATTTTCCCAAAGCCTTGTAATAATTAGGACTCTAACTTCTCGCATTTTAATTTCCGCAAACTATAAACTGCTTAGATGTATGTATAGGATTGTATGGAAAGACGAATTGAAATTAAAACGGTAGAAAACCCTAATTGTGCAAAGATAATTAACTGGAAAAAATACACTTGCACATGCTCACTCCTAGGGTTTACTCCACTTGGTTGCCTCAGAAATAATGGTCGTGTCCTCGAACGCAGGGGTATCTTAGCAATGACCCGCAATCCAAAATTGTCATAAAGATCATAGTCCCTACTTGTCCCTCGAGTTGCCTACGAATTGATCTTATGACGATAGTCCCTTCGAAATGCTAAGGTATCCTTACTTGTTGCCTTCAGAGACCATTTCGTCCCTTCGAACGTTCCTTTAAAACTCCAACGACGGTGCCACCTATTCCTTAATAATAGGGTAGCGATGTCTAAAGGAAAACGAACAGACTTTTTCGAGTAGGTAGATTAGCTCATAGGTACTTGCTCAAACAAAACTTTTACACACAAACACCTTTCAAAACAATTTTCAAAAACAACTTCGTCACACTCTTGAAGACTGATACAAGGGTTATCACGAATTAAAACTTTTTCAAAACAAACACACACACAAGCAGTTTAAAAAATGAGCAAAGTATCTAAGAGCCCGTGGAAAACCATGGATAGAAAGGGTGCTAACACCTTCCCTTTTTATAATCTACCCCTCGTACTCAAAAACATTCTCGAAAAAGGTTTTTTTTTTGTTCTTTTTCCTTTTCCTTTGTTGGATGAAATAAAAGTCGGTGGCGACTCTTGCTTACCGCACATTTGCGAATACAAAATGCAAACCAGTATAACAGTCGATTCTGCCACCGTATCACACATACATTATTACCTTTCTATTTTGCATAATCACACCCCTCAACGTCTTGCAATAAGATCAGTGCATAAGTTAATCTTTTCTATTTGTACATTATGGGATTTTTATGGGGTCGGATGTCGACTTCTGAGCTCATCTTAAATTCTAGGGGTCGGATCCTTGAAGAGTTGTTCTAAACGGAGTCGTAATGAGTCATTAAATGACCGACTCCGTTACAAGGTGTTAATGGCCGAATCCGTTACAAATGGCTAATAAGTGGAATAGTTACGGGTGCTTAATGGTTATTAAACCATGTGATTAATACCACGACCCTTAAGCATCCATGAGACTGGCTATAAAAGGGAAGTGGTGGTTATTCCAAAAAAAAAGTAGAACATTGATATGCCTGAATAACAAAAACAGAGGGACTCTCCAAGAGAGATAAGCAAGATATACTCTTGAGTCAATATGAGTCATAATCGTAGCACCAAAATCTCCCTAAATCACTATAGAAATCTACTCATTGCAACTCTCCCATACCTATTGAAAAGCTACTTGTTTATTGTTCCTACGCAAGAACACTATTACTCTTAGAAATTCATTTCACACTAAGTATCCCGCACAAACAACCCCGATAAACCTTTAATAAATTTTCGATAATAATCTAATAAACTTAGAAATTTCCTAATCTTACTCAAATCATCTGGTGTTTTTTTAATTAAAAATATTAACTAAGTTTGTAAGTTTAATCACTATTTTGCCTTTCAAAATTATGTGCTTTAAAATAACTCATTTTTTAATCCAAAACTCACATTTGGACAACTTTATCTCTAAAGGTTTTATAAAACTATTCTGAGATTATTAAGATGACTAACATGTTCATCCATAGTCCGCTAAAATATCATATCCAGTACACAAAGTAACGACTATTCCTTGTTCAAAATGAACACGCAAGGCTGAGAGGGAAATCTGATGTCCATAATGCGTAGATTTTTATTTGGAGAGGAAAAAATGTAGACGTGAAAGTAACCATTGAAGATTTCTGGACCAAATAACTAGTTTTTATTCTATGATAACGATGGGTGCATGACAACAAAAGCAATAGTGGAAGGAAGATACACAACCAAATTACTTGTTTTCACTAGACATAGAATACAAGCAAGTAGGAATGCATAATCTGAGGAATAGAAACTAAAGGATAACATAACAAATACTAGTACACATAAAACAGTATAGAGGAAACATGTACTCTATGTCTGTAGTACTAATCCACTTCCATTCCACCCTTATTTAAAAACATGTCATTTTCAAGTCCTTTTGACGAAGGAAACAACTCGATTAAGCAAATGAGTAGCATTCTGAGAGGTTGGATTGAACATATGAAAAACATGATCCTCATCCTTTGTCTCAACAACCTCAACAGCACCACCCCAACCAATTTTCTCAAGCAACTCTTTGTAATACCAACCTCTATCCTTCAACAAATCTTTCTCGGCAACACAAACAAGCACTCTCTTAAAACCCAAACTCCCCAAATTCGGATCCTTAGCCGGGTTAATCAACGGGTCATCGGATCCGGTGGTGGTTGGACATGAAAATCGCCATAAATTATGAACCTTTTCAACAAACTCACCTCGTGCCGATTCAGACCCAATTGGATCCACACCCCAAAAATAAGGATGGAGATAAACAGCCCCTTCAAGTTTCACACCATCCAAATTTTCCTTCCCAGCCCGAATACCCAAATAGTGTGCAATATTAGCACCAGCGCTATCACCTCCTAAGAACACTTTCTCAAAATCTGCATACTCATTCAACCATTCATCAGAGCCCTTTCCACCAACATGTGAAGCCACCCATTTGAGTGCAAGCCATGAATCTTCATGAGCGACAGGAACAGGGTGTTCCGGTGCTCTTCTGTAGTGAACAGATACACCAATCACGTTAGCCAGTGAAGTAACAGAGTTAAGGTAGTTATGGTAATTGGGCGAGGAAGGGGTTTCGATGCAGAAAGCACCACCGTGGAAGTAAACAAAAACAGGGAGTTTTTGGGTTGGTGGGAAATTGGTTTTGGGAATGAAAAGCCTAGCTGATATGTTATCTTCTTTGGAGATTATAACGTCTTTAGATTCAACGTTGGTGGCTGGATCAAGAGATGCACGAACAACGTCTTCCCCTATAAGCCTCTGAACACGACCGTTTTTGTATACTTTCATGAATGGAGGTAGATCAAAGGCTATTTCATCGTCCATGGTTGTTCTTGTTGGTGTCGTTGTTGTTGTTGAGTGTAAAAGGGTTTTATGAATTATTATACAGAGGAAGGAGAAGCAATGGGTATTGAGATTAACGAAGAAATAGTTTGGTTTTATAGCCACATACATAGACGAATTTTGAGTTGGTGGTGTCCCGTTAAATTTGCGCACCTAATCTTTTTGTTAATTATTATTTTATATTTAATTATTTTAAGTTAATTAAAATTTTAAAGTAATTTAGTATATGCAAGAAATTAATTTTAAAAAATCAGGATATCAAAAGGTTCCTTATTTTTTCATCAATAATCTTCTTCTTTTTGGTAAATCAAATAAAATCGTGCAAATATGGTTACAAATCACACTAAATCAACCATATGTTCAAAATGGTGGTAAACCAAATGACTCCAATAGTCTTTCTATGAAATTTATTTTTTACCTTAAAATAATGGTGAAAGATCCTTTCTTCAAATAGCGGAAGAAAAATCACAATCTTCGAAGAGATTGCGCTAAATTTCGAAGAATGCATATCAGCAATTATTTACAAGTTTTAGGTTTGAACGATTTTGAATTGTAAACCATATCCTTTTTTAAACTTTTTTGTTTGGAATATTTTACCCGTTCTCTGTTTTAGGAGGTAAGAAGTGTTAGTTGGTTAATTCTTGTTATGTAGTTATTTGGTCTTTTAGCATGTATTTGGGCTTGGAGACTTTTGCCTATATAAAGGGTCATTGTGTTTGTAGATAGCAAGCAACAACAATAATACAAATCAGTTATATAGTTAGTTACATATAACTAACTCATCATTCTCTCTCTCTCTCTCTCTCTCTCTCTCTCTCTCTCTCTCTCTCTCTCTCTCTCTCTCTCTCTCTCTCTCTCTCTCTCTCTCTCTCTCTCTCTCTCTTCTTCTTCTTCTTCTTCTTCTTGTTTTCACAAAATCGTCTTTCTTAAATCCTTTGTTCCAACAAATTAGTATCAGAGCTTGTTTGCGATTCATAGAGAATCTAATGGCAAACGGATCAACAACATCAACACGGTTTTCAGCGAATCTACCGATTTTCAAAGGTGAAAACTATCAACGATGGGTGGCACAAATGAAGGTTATTTTCAGATTTCAAGATGTTGTAGAAATATTGAATGATGGAATATCACAACTGAATGTAGATGCTACAGAAGCCCAGAAAGCTGCACATAAAGATCAGAGGAAGAAAGATGGCAAGGCGCTGTTCTTGATTCACCAGTGTGTGGATTGTGATGTATTTGAGAAGATAATTAAAGAAGAAACAACAAAAGGAGCTTGGGAAAAGCTGAAATCATTGTATGATGGAGATGAGAAACCGAAGAAGGTGAAGTTGCAGACTTTGAGGAAGCAGTATGAGATACTTCAGATGAAAGAGGATGAATCTATTTCTGTATATTTCTCAAGAGTGGTGACGCTAACAAACCAGATAAATGCATGTGGTGAAGCGCTAACGGATCTGCAAAAGATAGAAAAGGTATTGAGATCCTTAATTGCAGATTTTGATTACTTTGTTGTGACAATTGAAGAGGCCAAGAATCTATCTAAAATGAAGTTGGAAGAACTTCAAGCTTCATTGGAGGCTCACGAAATGAGGCTGCAGCAGAGAAACTCAGAAAGAGAGAAGACATCTGAACAAGCATTACAATCAAGATTCAGCAAGAAAGCTGGAAAAGAGAAGTTGAAGCAGCGAAAGAATCTTTCTGGTGATGAGAAGTCAAGCAAGAATACTGATTCGAAAGGTGTGGGCAACAAATATTCTGGGAAGAAAGTTGACACGAAAGAGGTGCAATGTTACAATTGTCAAGGTTTTGGTCAATATGTTAGAGACTGTCGAAGAAAGAAAGCTGCAAGGTCGAAAGATAGTGATGAAGCTCAATATGCACGGGCTAGAAGTAGTGATTCTGATGATGTGTTATTGCTGGTGAACACTCAGTCGAACACTGAGAAAAACAACATGTGGTATCTGGATTCAGGATGTGGCAACCACATGATTGGCAATAAAAACTGGTTTACCAAGTTAGATGAATCAGTCAAAAAGGTGATAAATTTTACAGATGGCAGACATATCAAGTCAGGTGATAAAGGAGATATTTCGATTATCAAAAAGGATGGTCGAAAGGCTACTATCACTGAAGTTCTATATGTACCTTCGATGACAAGTAACTTGATAAGTGTAGGTCAATTACTTGCAAAAGGCTTCAATATGAATTTGGAGAATAATCAGCTAAAGGTATATAGGGCTGATGGGAGGCTAATAATGAAAGCATCATTGGCGGAGAACAAAATGTTCAAGGTTGAACTCAACACATCAGATAAAAAATGTCTTACTTCAACTACAGAAGAAGACAAGAACTGGCTATGGCATCACATGTATGGACATCTAAACTTCAAGAGTTTATGTATGCTCAATAAGAAAAGAATGGTGCTTGGGTTTCCGTATGTGAAGGAACCAAAGCAGATATGTGAGGAATGCTGTAAAGCTAAACAGATAAGAAAGGAATTCAAACGTGACTTGCCTATAAGATCAAGTCAAAAACTGGAGTTGGTTCATTCAGATGTGTGTGGACCCTTTGAAGTAAAGTCCAATGGAGGTAACAGGTATTTCCTTACTTTCATTGATGAATTCACCAGACATGTGTGGGTTTACCTTATTGAAAGGAAGAGTGAGGTATTCACACAGTTCAAGAAGTTCAAGTTGCATGTTGAGAAACAAAGTGGCTGCAAATTGAAAAAGTTAAGAATTGATGGTGGTGGTGAATATACTTCTGCTGAATTTGCTAGATTTTGCAATGAGGAAGGTATATTGCATGAGGTTATTGCACCCTATACGCCTCAATATAATGGCATAGCTGAGAAAAGAATATAAGTGTAACGAACATGATAAGATGTATGTTGAAAGCTACGAATATGCCTAAGAGATTTTGGGCTGAAGCAGCCTCGACAACAATATACATTCTAAATAGATGCCCAACGAAGAAGATGGTCGAAAAGACACCGCATGAGGCTTGGACAGGGTCGAAGCCAAATGTAAGTCAACTTAGAATTTTTGGATCAATGTGTTTCAGGCATGTACCTGAACAATTGAGAAAGAAGCTGGATGATCAAAGTGAAGCCATGGTACTCATAGGTTATCATTCGACTGGTGCATATAAGATGTATTCGCCCATCGAAGATAAACTAGTGATCAATAGAGATGTTCTTGTAGACGAAAGCAAAGGATGTGATTGGAGTCGAAGTTCAATTCGACATGAATCAGACACAATCACAACTGTGTTTAAAGAAGATGAAGAGAACGAAGCTTCGACAAGTCGAAATGAAGAACCACCTGTGCAAAATGAAAGAAGATCCACGAGAACAAGAACTGAGTCGACTAGGCTGATTGGATATGAGAGGTTTCTAGATCAAGAAATTGATGTAGATGGTGACTTAATCGAAGAAGAATTGATGATGGTTGAAGAAGAACCAATTGATTTGGGTGAAGCCTTGAGCAATTCGAATTGGTGTGAAGCCATGAAAGAAGAACTTAGAGCCATTGAGAAGAACAAGACTTGAGAGCTTGTCGAAAGAACCAACAAAAAACCAATCGATGTGAAATGGATCTACAAGGTGAAACAAAGGCCAAATGACGAGATTGCAAAGTATAAGGCAAGACCGGTGGCCAGGGGTTTTCTACAAAAACCTGGTATTGACTTTGATGAAGTATATGCGCCTGTTGCAAGGATCGAAACAATCAGGATTGTTGTTTCGATAGCTACATATAGAGGATAGAAAATGCACCAACTTGATATAAAGTCATCATTTTTGAATGGTCCATTGGAAGAAGAAGTCTATGTTACTCAACCACCAGGTTTCGACGCCAAAGGGCATGAGTCGAAAGTTTACAGATTAAGGAAGGCTCTCTATGGCTTGAAGCAAGCTCCTAGAGCTTGGAATAAAAGGATAGATAGCCTCCTAATCGAAGAAGGTTTCATAGAGTGTGTCTCTGAACATGGAGTGTATGTAAATGATGTCGAAAGTGTCAATCGAATCATTTTATGCCTCTATGTTGATGACTTACTCATTACAAGAGCAGACAATGCTGGGATAATGAAGGTAAAGTCGAAGTTAATGCAGGAATTCAAAATGTCTAATTTAGGGAATCTCTCCTATTTCATGGGAATGGAATTCAAAGACATCGAATAAAGAGTTTTCTTGCATTAAACGAAGTATGCTCAAGATACACTGAAGAGGTTCAATATGAGAAACTGTAAGGCATCTGTTACTCCATTAGAGACTGGAGCAAAGCTGAAAAAGGAATCGAATGATGAGTTTGTAAGTTCGACCCTTTATAAACAAATCATTGGATCCTTGAGGTATCTTTGCAATACTAGACAAGATATCTGCCAAAGTGTAGGATTGTTGAGAAGATTTATGGAGAAGCCTCAAGAATGTCATCTCATCGCAGTAAAGAGGGTGTTGAGATACATAAAGGAAACTATTGATCATGGTGTGCTGTTACCAAAGAAATCGTAAAATAACTCATATATCGAAGTTCATGGATACACTGACTCAGACTTCAATGGAGATCAAGACAAAAATAAGAGTACTGCAGGATACATTTTAATGATCGAAGGAGCTCCAATCTCCTAGACTTAGAGGAAATAAAGCATTGTGGCTTTGTCATTATGTGTAACACCCCTTCTAATAAACCCCGAATTAAACGATATAATTAAAATCAGAGAAAATAAAATTTTCACAGAAGGAGTGTCACAACATCAATTCACATATTCAAGAAAAATGGACATGACATATTCGTCACTTTAATCATTTAATCACATAATACATTCATGGCATATACTTTTCTTTTCGAGCAAACGTAACGGAATCATAATAACTTCATCTTCAAAGGAGGAATCAAAATATAAAATTCAAGGAATTAAGTCATACGGTCATACACCAAACATGTTATCAATTCATAATATACATACATCAACATATAATC